CATCCCCTAGAAATTGAAAATGGTAGAACATTGGGTATTCCACGTGACCAAAGATTATGTCCATTTGGTTGCAGGGTCACAGAGGACGAATATCATTTTACTATGGTTTGTCCAAAATATGAAGCACTTAGACAAAAATTCTTACCAAAATATTATTTTTCACCACCAACCAAGATGAAATTCATTGCATTGCTACAGAGTACTAACTCGTATATTTTACTAAGTTTGGGTAAATATTTGTTTAAGAGATTTCATTACAGAGAAACTGAAATGGAAGTATGATTTGAAGTATATGTATCTTGTAATTTTAAAGCGACTGTGTGTAATTTAAGTTTTGAAATGTAACAGTACTTTAGGCCGGTGGCCATATAGTGCGGAATAAAGAAAATAAAAAAATAAAAAAATACATATTGTTCATTTTCTAATGATGTCTTCAGGCTGCTTGTTTTTGGTAGTTGTCCATACCCATACCTACCAAAATCAGTTGAAATTAGCTTTTTTTAAAAATTTTCACAGATAAACCTTTAGTTAGGGATACTAATAGCAGTGTTCAAAGTATCATGTTTTTATTTTGTCTACTTTGCGCACTGGTAAGAGATCGCCGGCGCCGACATTGTTACACTGTATCAACGTAATCCCAACGCAACTTTGAACTTTGAATGAACTGCCATGCTGCGTTCAATCTAGAAAATACTATCGCAAAACGGTTGGAAATAATAAATTTAGCAACAGAATACGTCCCAACAATAAAATAAAGTAACTTCTAAAGACTGAATGTTTTTTTTAGCGAACTTCGTGTACGGGACTCGATTTTAGTTATAAACCGACGTTCATGTCCTTCCCTGACAACCACGGGCGCTCGGAACGTTTCTTGGATAACAAAAAAATGACCTAAAGTAGGATCGGCATAGTTAGTCAGTTGCCGGTACATTCCCCTACCACTCATATAATAACACAAGTTAGGAAAGCGTTGACACCATGACATTGAAACTTTAAATTATATTTCGATCCGCTTCACACAACTCAAGCATGATATCGGTAGAAAATATCGATCGACTTATATTACCTTTATTCGAATTAAAACGGGTTAAATCCTGTGAAAATCAAAACACCAGAGCTTTATTTCAACTTTATTTCTTAATTATTTCATTATTGTGTAATTGCTACAATATTATTTTGTCATTGTTTCATTATGTTACAATTGTGTCGTCGTTATTTAGACATTATATTGTCACAAAGTCAGTATCTCCTAACGGCCGTAGCACATTTACCGAGCTGAATGTGCTGTAATATAAACACAGTCGTTACAAACAAAGTAAATTTTTACTAACGTCCGTAGCACATTTACCGAGCTGAATGTACTGTAATCTAAACACAATCGTTACAAACAAAGTCAATATTACTAACGTCCGTGGCACATTTACCGAGCTGAATGTACTGTAATCTAAACACGCTAAAAACGCGAAGGCTCATTGGATTGATTGTCATGCATATTTGTTTCAACTAGAGACTCCTAAAAGTGAGTGGTTGAAATCAGAAATTGCTGAGGCATTTGGATTGCCAATTGGTGGATTC